TATATATATATATATATATATATATATATATATATGTATAGGAGGAAGACGCAGTAGAAGCAGAGAGAGGGGAGATGCTGGAGGAGCAACAGTAAAGAGGGGGGCAGCAGTAGCAGCAGCAGCAGCAACAGAAGGAGTAGCAGCAGCAGCAGCAGCAGCAGAAGAGGGCTGAGCAGCAGCAGCAGTAGCAGCGATAGCAGCAGCAAAAAAACAACACTCGCATACTATGCAGCAACTACAGCAGCGTCAATACATAGGCAAATTCAATCAGCAGCAGCAGCATGAAGCGCAGCAGCAGCAGCAGCATGAAGCGCAGCAGCAGCAGCAGCAGCAGCAGCAGCAGCAGCAGCAGCAGCAAGCTGACTTGAGAGAGAGAAGGGTGCGCGAAATGTGTATCATCGCGGGCTCTCCCGGTGCATCTCCCTCTGTACCATCCGTTTCGGAGTCTTGCTGCTGCTGCTGCTGCAGTTGCTGCTGCTGCTGCTGCTGCAGCGAAGCAGTTGAGCCGGCTCCTGCTGCTGCTGCTGTTGCTGCTGTTGCTGCTGTTGCTGCTTCTCCATCTACAGAGAAGGAGGCAACGGCGGGGTCCGCCGGCAGCCTCGAACGCATTGCATATGAGGGGGGGGCAGCAGCAGCAGCAGCAGCAGTGGCAGCAGCGGCAGCAGCGGCGGCGGTGGCTGCTGCTCCTGCTGCTGAAAGGGGTCCCCAACACCCCCAGGAAAAAGACAGGCAGAGGCTGCAGTAGCTGCAGCAGCAGCAGCAGCAGCAGCAGCAGCAGCAGCTCCTTCCTACGGCTGCAGCAGCAGCAACACGTGAGGTGTATGTACAGCACACGCCTCAGCAGCAGCTAAGCTTGAGTTTGCTGCTATGCTGGTGTATTCCCCTGCTGCTGTGTTGCTGCAAAAAAAACAGAAGACGGCCTGTGAGACAGCAGCAGCAGCAGCAGCGGCAGCAGCAGCAGCAGCAGCAACAGCAGCTGCTGCTGCAGCAGCAGAAGCAACTCAATCTCCCTGAAAGGCCTCTCCCAACGGAAGGGCAAAATAATTAAAGAAATTAAAATTAAAAAAACAAAAAAAGTCAAAACAAGTTGCTAGTAACGAACCCAGCAGCAGCAGCAGCAGCAGCAGCAGCAGCAGCAGCAGCAGCAGCAAAGCAGACAGACGCCTGCAGCAGCGCATGCAGCTTAGGCCGCAGCCGACAGCACGAAGGCGATAGATAGATAAATAAAATAAAATATTTAATTTAATTTATTTTTATTTATTATGAAAAATAACTCAAGTTAATATAATATACAATAAAAACAGCAGCAGCAACAGCAGCAGCAGCAGCAGCAGCAGCAGCAGCAGTGCTCGTTATGCTTCTCTGCTGCTCCTCTCTCACATTGTTTATTATAATTTTAATTTATTTGCTGATATTTAACAACTCTAAACAGTTGCTGCTGCTGCTGCTACTGCTGCTGCTGCTGCTGCTACTGTTGCTACTGCTGCTGCTGCTGCTGCTACTTCTACTGCTGCTGCTGCTGCTGCTACTGCTGCTGCTGCTGCTGCTGTTATAGCTGCTCCTCCTCCTGTTGCGGCTACTGCTGCTGCGGCTACTGCTGCTGCTGCTGCACTTGGTGCTGCTGCTGTTGCTGTTGCTACTTCTGCTGCTGCGTTCCTACTGTATCTACTGCTATTACTGCTGCTGCTACTGCAGCTACTGCTGCTGCAGCTACTGCTGCTGCTGCAGCTTCTCCTGCGGTCGTTGCTGCAGCTGCAGTTGCTGTTGCTGCTGCAGTTGCTGTTGCTGCTGCAGTTGCTGTTGCTGCTGCTGCTGTTGTTGTACATCAGCAACAGCAGCAGCAGCGACAACAACAGCAGCAGTACCGACAGGAGGAGAAACAGCAGTTGCAGCAGCAGCTGCAGCAGCTGCAGCAGCTGCAGCAGCAACTGCTAACACTAAACCCTGAACCCTAAACCCTAAACCCTAAACCCTAAACCCTAGGAAACAAAAAAACGTTTCTCCTGCGGATGTCTGCGCTGCCTCTTGTTGCTGCATTCTGCTGCTCGGTGCTGCTGGTGTGCTGCTGCGTTACGTATTCCAGCTGCTGCCTATGTGCTGCAGCTGCTGCACATAACGCAGCAGCAGCAG